TGTGTCTCGTCAGGACCCCGCTGGCCTCAGTCGGCCCCTGGCAGCGCCGCCTCCTCCTGGCCCTGAGAGAGCTGGACGGCTCTGGCGGCCTGCAGGGCTGGGGGGCGCCGGGAAGATCCCCAGGCCGTGTGCTCTGTGTTTTAGGGCTCTGACGGCCTCAGTGCTCTCACTGGTAACCGTTCTGCTCACAAATTCTACTTCTTACTGATTCGTCTTGGAAAGTCGGTGGATTCCAACATTTGGTCCATTTCTTGCAGCTTCACCACCCTGTTGGCGCACACAGCCAGGGTCCCCACGGGATCCTGGCACATCGACACACTTAATGGAACGTCTCCTTCTTTTCTGACTCTATTCATAGCATTTTCTCCCATTTTTTCTAGTATGGGCTAGACTTTGGCTGCCTAGTTTACCTTTGCAATGACCAGCTTTACTTACATTCTCACTTCAAAAGTCTTTTCAACTGGGCTTCATTCATTTTTCCATCATTTTTTATGCCTCAGTGCATAGGGCTCACAACACAGGAGGAGGTTCTCCGGGTTCCTCTCCCCATGGGTGCGCCCGGGGATGGCCAGGACAGGCAGGTCCAGGGCTCGGTGGTCAACCGCAAGGGGCGTAGGCCGTGGCCAGGCAAGGAGCCCTGGGGCTGGTCTGGGCGGATAATCACATTGTCCGGGTCGCCGCAGACTTGATGAGCACAGCACAGGGCTGTGTCTGCGGATCCGGCTCAACCTTGCTGCCGGTGGCCTCCTCCGGGAATGTGACCCATTGGGGCCGATGGCCAAACCAGAGCTGGAGTCAGGGAGACACTCGCTGAGCACTGCGGGTCCCTGCGGGATGGAACGGGCCGGAGCTTCCTGAGGACACCGGGTCCTGGTGTCTCGCGTATCGCTGAGGCAGTGAGGGGTCAGGGTCGCACAGGCCCCTCCACCCCATTGCGCCTTCTGGCCCCTCCAGGCCTGCTTGATGCGGCACCTGCAATCCCGGATGCGGCCACTGGGCGGCGCCATCCAGCCCCCTCGGGAGTGGGTGCGGCCACGACCCAGACACCAAAGAGGACCTGTGCCCACTGCGGGACCCCGGGAGCAGTAGCACGTCTAGGGGAGCGGACGCCTGGTCCAGCGCCCTCGCTAGAGCTGTGC